CGCAGTCAACACTAGCCCTGGCTTCGCCAGTGGCCACTGCCACCTGAGACGGCAATTGGGAGTTCTGTACACAATAAACCACTCCTTCTGGTGACTTTTACCTGGGGATTTCGACCTAGTGATTGTAGTGGTCCGAATACAACCACTACTTACACCGCTATACCTCTAAAGACAGTCCTGCCAATTTCTATTTCCTACCCTAAACGCTGACTACCAAGCAGAACTCTAATGTACCCTGGAATCAAATAAATTACTCGTATATGCATTACTCATTGGGACATAACTCTGTCTACTGTCCTAACCTTACGCCCACCTCCCTTCTCTTTCTCCTGATAGGTCCTCTCATACTGGTGTCACCCCGGCAGCCTGGGTTCAGCAAATAACCTAAAGAGTGTCCTAGAGACTCTTGCCAATTCGAAGCTCATTAGCGCTCTGATCAGATTCTACATCGACATTGAGTCAACCGGCGCCTCAAATGAGTTCTATGACAAGTTCTCTATTCGCTTCAATATCTCCGTCATCTTCATCACCCTGTGGGATGTGGGCTTTTTTAAGCCGCACTTCCTGCGTGAGGCCGAGTGAGTGTTTGCCCTTCTCTTCTCTTCCTTAAAACTCTGCAAACTGCTTATCGTTGCGCAGTCCGAATGCCCTAAACAAATCAGTCATGGATGATTTAAACATGTTGGCGGTCTGCTTGCCTAGACTTCACAAAACATTATTTTCAAGGTTCTGTCGAACAAATCAGTATTCATCTAGCCCATCAGTCGTTAAACTCGCCTTTGGGCGTTGCCAGACTTGGTTTATTCATTTTTGCTTTTGTCCCTGCTAAAAGGTCGATGCGTCGATTCAGTTTTGTTGAGCTGACCGTGTTGCTTTAAAGACGCGGCGGTTACTAAGATGACCCACTTTTCCCAACTTGCGGGTGTTGTTGGTGTATTTGACCTCACTAGCTGCCTAATGTTCCGTCCCCTTGACCCCTTTTGTACAGGTGTGAGTGCACTTGCGATATCTCTACCGGTGACTGCATAGACTATCCTAGACTGATTACGTTGATTAAATCTCCCTGTACCAACAATCTGACTTTCCGATGTGGCGGCGAACAGTGTGCGCCCATTTTATCCACCTTTTTCCGTAAAAGTCCGTGCGTCCTGTCGTCAATTGTGCGTTCGTTGCGTCGGAGGAAGCATGTGACTGCCTATGTCGACATGCGTGTTGGCCAATGCTAAGATCGACTAGTGTCCAGACTGCCGCCTTCGGACAAGTGTGACCTTCAGACGGTGAGGCGACCTTGGCACTTCAAGCGCGTTGCAACAATTCTGCGCGTGACCCTATTGCTGTAAACGCATCTGGTATGGAGATTCATGCCACGTCGGCCACTACGTCTAATCTCCTTATCGGTTGGCGGACAAAGTTGAGCGGACCACTGGCATATGTCATGGGGCGCGTGGGGGGAAGGGGAGGAGAGGAAGGCAGATATTGAGCTATCCCCCCTCATGGCACCGGAGCATGTCTGTCACTTGAAGGTAATACGACTCACTCGAAGTCATGATTTTCGATGGCTACGAGTGGTCAGGCTTGCTGGGTCTTTTTGTGGAACAAGGGCAGCACTGTAATCGTTCTCTCTTAGCTTAGCATCTTCTCTTGTGGAGGGGGGATATCTGAGGCTTCCATCCCCTCCTTATTTCAGCTTTGGTTCGTGTGCAGTTAGGGTCCAGACAGAAATTAACGAGCTAATGGACTTTGTCCCCACTTTTACTCACGCCCTCACCCAGTCAGTTTGGCTTTCTCCTGTCATGCGAACATGATGGATGAGGGGAGAGGGAGGTAAATTCCATGAAAGTTTGCTACTGAAAAAAACCTGCTTGGCGCCTAGGACAACCCTGTGCCCTTGGGACAGTGGTTGAACGCGCTGTCTGCAACAGGCAGATAGGATATGTACGTATTCTGCCTGCCATACGCCTGCAGCCTGGGCGCACGCTTGTTTCTTGGCTTCGCGCTACGGCTACTGCATTTCTTGCAACCTGTGCTAGTTGTGTTCTCTTCTGTACACCTCCACCCTTCTAACCATGCGGCACCTTTTTCTCCAATGTTAGTGGGGATCCGGCCACCTTCACAAAGTTTATCAACCGCATGATCAATGACATGTCCTTTCTGCTTGAAGAAGCCCTTGATGGTCTTAAGAAGGTTCGTGAACTGCAGGACCTGCGAAATGACGCTAGTCGGTGGAGTAAGTTGTCACGGCAACAACAGCTCAACAACACCGCCGAATCGGCTACCCACGAGCGTCAGGTAGGCCCTCCCATCCCAGCCCCTTTTGTTTCTGCTAACTGGACATTCTTCCGCGGGCAGGACTGTCTTTAGAGGTCCTTTTTGCCTTTGACTGATAACAATAACCAACTTTTACATTTTCGGTAAACCGACTTTCCCTTTATTTTCGTTAACTTCCGCCTATATTAGGTTGGATTTCCCTCAATTGGCATCAGCATCTTGCGCAGTAGGGCTTTATTTTGATGGGTTTGATTCAATTTAGTACATTGAAACAAGTCTAATAATAGTTTTATCACTTCCACTACAATTGAATATTCATTTAAACTCACTAACCAAGAATTAAATGTTTGAGCAGAAAATACGTTAGACAGTTGGGCAGGGGTGTTATAACCTTGTGTGTTCCTGTGTCAACACCGGTTATGTCCCCCAGTTACGTTTTAGGAAGAGAAGGCAGAACAGAATAGCAGATACAGTAGTCGCCGGCTATTAAGCCCACCTCGGGCCCAGACCAAATTG